CACCCACACACCCATACCCACACCCACACACCCACACACCCACACCCACACCCACCCACACCCACACCCGTTCGAGACTGACCGAAGCTGACAGGTTGTGACAGATCCTGAGCGAACCACAGTACGATCAAGCCTGGCCGTGTTAGAGCGATCGTGACGAAGCCCGAGCCTTGCAGAGGCTGACGCTGCCTGACAGAGTCCGATTCCTATCGATCCTGACTAAGCCGGAACCTGACCGTGCCTATGTCTGAACGAGCCCGATCCCGATGGACCCAAAGCCTGGTCGAGCCCAAGTCGAGCGATACCGAGCCGATCGAGCACGGGCCGGGCCAAGACCGGGTCTGACCTAGCCTGAGTCGGCGCTTGACCGATCTCGAGCTACTCGGGCTCGGTACACCCCTAATAGTTAGTGTCTAGTACTTTCTTGACTATTTCTATTTATATCTTGATATTGAATGCAACTATACGCTAGTGAAAGTCTGGGTGGAAACTAGCTTAACAATCGAATGTTGGACCTATTAACTGCTTGCCTTAAGTCATAATAACTCGGTTCAGGATAGAAGGTCTTACAGATCAGTGCAAGATGATTGGATGTGTCCCCAATGGAACTGGGTGTCCATTGGGACCGCTACTCGTCCATCAACCAGGAGAAGGATCGGTATAAATCTAATTGGCTGATGGTTTTTGAGCTTTCGATGTATTTCGCTCACTGTTTCGTTTTACAAATATTCCTCAGAATACACTACAGTTCCATTATTACTCCAATCGAGCTAGCTGTGCAACCTCTAGTATCCCTCTTTACTCTATCTTTGTGGTTCTTTACACGTTATGGTTTTCGTTGTCCTCGTTTTAGTTTGTTTTTCGGAACGTGTTTCGATCACCATACAAACTGAAAATGTTACGTTATATCTCTTATCAGCAGCCTACTCTACCTTTAGATGAGATGAATCCGTTCGTTGTTGTCAAAACGTTTTTCTTTACTTTTACTCACATCGAGCACTTCAAAATATACTGATATGAGACGAATATGAAGCTGTTGTTTTTATACGGCTTTCAGCATGATTCAGTTGTTTATCAGAAATTATTACTTCTTTTTTCTTGCCACCTATCATACACTGCCTCGTTTTTTATTTTTTCCTGCTTCAGATTTCCACCGAGTGTAAAACGCGGCCCAACGCAATACTTCGAACCACTACGTTTATCATCTATTGCTTAAAGTAAGAAATTCATTGAATATCCTCACATTACCTGTGATGAACTGACACCTGTTCATTTTAAAGATGTTCTTATGAGGTAATCGTTGAAATACATTACTACAGACATATTCTGTAATGGCTCGTCTTCAACGCAAGTCATACTTTCAAGTACTCTGGTACTAGAACTTGAGCTATTCCAAAACACTTATAAAAATGTAAACTTATAGTCAATGAGAAAGATCTGCTAATTGAGTCAATTGGAAGAAGTCGTAGGTGTGGGTATGATGGTATTGTATTCAATCCTATGCAAATCCGCTTACCAATCTTCACCCATACCGATCCCAACTCAGGTTTTTTAACTGAATTTATGAGGTGTCAACAGCATACATAAGAAACCACTTTTCAATACGATCCAATTGAGTCATTTGCCTAAACGTCTGCTATAGGGTGTAGGTGTGAGGTGGGTGGGGGATTTTGAGTGTGAGGACGTGGCGTTGGTTATGGGTTTGGTAGTGGATCAGTATAGATGGTGAGGTGTGGGTGTTGCCGTGAGTATGAATGTGAGTGTGGATGTGGCTCATGAAAAGGTTTGCATGCTTCTCTACGTAACACAGTGACTGGCACATGCATCGGCTCATACTCACAACTCACGTCGATGCCGACACTGGTAACCATCCACATCCATATTCACACTCTATAGTAATCGAAAAAGTGAAATCCACGCTGTAAAAAATAAGCATTTATGAGATTGCAACGGGAAATAAACTCTTTTTCCGCTCTTGAAATATCCGATAAATCACATTTTCAAATCATAAACAAAAACACTGTTTATCATTTTCGTCATATATGCAGAAATACGATTTATATTTCATTGCAAACTCATAGCCCTTCTTCCGTTTATTACAGAATGGGAAACGTTTTTCTCCGTTTATTATTCTACGGCTTTTTTTCAGTGTAAATCGGCTATGGAGAAAAGAGAAAGAGAGAGACGGCACAGAGAAAACAGAAACACAACCAAAAGAGAAAGAAGATGCAAGACGCTATGTGTGTCACGCTTGATCATTCGGACACACAATAAAAACTGAGGTACTGATTGATCGCAATACTGTGTATCGTGGCGATATATTCATTGAACAAACGCTCCTGTAACTGTTTTCTAAGAAATGTATTTAATTTCAACGGTTATTGGAAAGGTAACCTTTGACTCATCTGCCAAATCCGTGTTTGAATTTCCATGTCTGGATTTGAATTGAGATTATCCAAATAATCTGTGTAATCCATTCGGCTTGGTTAGGGCTCATCCGTGGAAACTGTAACACAATGGATCCTCAAATCATACACAGTCACAAACGTCTTTTAAAAACTATTCTCTCAAAAATTTCATCAACTTTGCATTCTCGTAAAATGTCCTCCTCACATCAAGCCTGGAAAAAGGTGCTTCAAGGTAAATCCACTTCGTGAGAATATCCCAGGAAAATAGCCATCTGTTTCAAAACATCCCTCATCTCCAATTTCTGTTTTTCAAATATCATGTTACTGTAGAGCAGATGAAGATATGGGTGTGGGGAATAATTGCAATATAAAAATCGATGCGTACATGCACACAAAACCAAGCGGAGAACAGACACGGACACCCACATCCTCCACACAACATATCCATACACAAACCCCATCTCCATAGCCACGATGACATCCACACCTACGTCCACACCCACATCCACAACCACACCCACACCCCACACCCGTACTCATACCCACACCCAAAGCGACACCCACATATCAACTCACCCTCACAATCACATCTACACCCACATCCACACCCGCACCGACACCTTCACACCTAAAGTCACACGCACTAAGAGCCAAAAATCACCCAAAAGTGCACCCAGAGCTACATCCACACTCGCACTTATACCTACACTCACATCCACACGTATATCCAGGTCAAATCCACATCAAAACGCACGGGATTCCCGAATTTCGCCAATAAACCCTGGTGACTTTCGCCAATTGGCGACAGTCCACTGTACTTTCGCCAATATGCCCTGGTGACTTTCGCCAATTGGCGAGAGTCTGACGTGCATTCAACAGTGCAACATGTACAGGGTGTAACATAACCATTACGCCCCCTCTAGAACTTGAAGTATAAATGATATCAAAGAGTATTATATACCAAATTAATGCTCGTCAAAAACTGGATTTATGAGTATAATTAATAGATCTTAGAACAATTATTGGGTATGAAATTACTGAAATGTCTTGAAATACATGCCGAAATGCGCTCATATTTTACGATTTTCATTCTTCATCTAGATATTTTCACCAAAAATAATAGCAGATTCGTAATCCTCATAAAAAGCTGCATCTATAGACATGTCATTTGTATCTTTTTGACGAAAAAAATTTTTCAAAAATCCTGAGGAATGCGCATCTTATGCCTAAAATACACGCCACGCAAGGTTTTTGAAAAAATTTTTTTTCGTCAAAAAGATACAAATGACATGTCTATAGAGGCAGTTTTTTATGGAGATTACAAATCTGCTATTATTTTTGGTGAAAATATCTAGATGAAGAATGAAAATCGTAAAATATGAGCGCATTTCGGCATGTATTTCAAGACATTTCAGTAATTTCATACCCAATAATTGTTCTAAGATCTATTAATTATACTCATAAATCCAGTTTTTGACGAGCATTAATTTGGTATATAATACTCTTTGACATCATTTATACTTTAAGTTCTAGAGGGGGTGTAATGGTTATGTTACACCCTGTAGATTAATAGACAGCACCAAGATATATACTGATACCCATCCTCCTCACTCATATCCAACATTGATATTCTTCTGTGACAAATGGTAAAAGACCATCAAATTTTTTTCAATTGGTAAGAGTCCACTATACTTTCGCTAATACACGTCCAGGACATTCGTAAATTGGCGAGAGTCCACTGTACTTTCGCCAATATAATCCGGTGACTTTCGCCAATTGGCGAGAGTCCACTGGACTTTCGCCAATGCACCACTGGGCTTTCGCCATTGGCGAATGTCCAGTTGGCGAAAGTCTTATTGGCGAAATTCGGGTAAGCCAAACGCACACGCAGACGCATACCCACCCACACCCACACCAGAGACAGCATCCACCCGCACTCACATCCATCTACACCCAAACACAGATCCACAGCCAGACCACGCACCGATATCCCACACAGCAACTAATGGGACTTATTTTTTCCGGATTTATTGAGACTTTTTAATAAATCTGTAAGAATTTTAGGATAAATTCCACACGGTTCCTCGATACATACAAAGTGTGGACGTGGGTGTGGGTGCGGATGTGGGTGCGGATGCAGAAAGCGGTGTGAGCGTGTTAAAATATCATTATAATTAATAAATTCCATAGGAAAAATAAATCCCGGTAACTCCTCCAGCGAACCACATCCGCGCTCACACACTGGACCTATGGTTACTTCTCCATGCATTCAAATAAAACGATGTTGATCAGTGTTTTCCTCGCAAAAATGAAATAAAATAGAATCTCGTAGAAAGTCGATTAATATATTAATCTTCAAACTTTGGTTTTGTATGTTTTAGTTTTCAAGATGGCAGAATGGACGGTGGATCAAGTCAGTCGCTGGTTGAGTGTAAACGGTTTGCAAAAGTACATACAAGTGTTCAAAGGTAAGCCCTCGCTACTATAAAGACAATATGAAACTCATAAATTGTGATAATTTTTCCATAATCTGTTATATTGTAAGAGCTACTCTGAAACTATTTTTCGGCAATTTGATAGTCAGTCGTGCACCATATTACTTGAGTCAAAATTTGTTTTCAACTCACCTCCCTATGTCCGAAGCAAGCATCAATGTATCTTGTAGGCACCATGGCTGAGCTTTTATTCATTTGATATGTCCTCTCAACGTATAACTTTTGCATATCAATAAAACTAGTAATGAAATAACTTGTGAGGAATTCATGAACAGGTGCTTGCATTATATCACTCATCTGATAGAACGCTGACCACTTTATGGTTTACATCGCTCCTGATGGCTTGTATGAGATGAGGTACTTTGATTTAGAAGCTCAGATGATTGAGCAGAAGAATTTTGAGCCAGTCGGGTCTTCTGCTCAGAACTACAGTTAGTGTCAAATGCAGAGAAGGTATCAGGCTAGCAAATCTTCCTATGAGCACATCCTATGTAACAAGACAGCGGGGAGTACACTTTGGTTTGCGCGAAGAAAATTTCAACGTAAGAACTGAAAAAAAAACTGTCACAAAATACGTCTATGCAAAAACTATCGATGGTAATATTCCCAGCAGAATTAAAGAGAGATGAGTGTAAGCTCAATATCTCGATAATGACAATAGCTAGCAACCTCCGAGTTTCAGCAATCGATAGATAAGGCTTTGGGACGTCTTTTTTTCTGATACTATGTAAGATAGGATTATTTTAAACTCCATCATCTTCGCAAAACATTCAAAAAAACGCATGAAAAGTGTTCCACTTCAAGGAAATTTTGATACAAAATCAGAAAATTTTCTAAAAAGCAACAGAATTCTCTATAATTTGATCGAATAGATAAGCGATTGGGTTCCTTCAACATTGAGGCACGAGAAGCTAAACAGTTGAATCGCCCCTTCAGCTATAGATCTGAACTCTCTTTATCTATAGCACATGTCCAAATTAAAACTACATCGAAACGGAAAACCGTTGTCATGCAGTTTTTTTGAATGTTTTGCAAAAATGACTAATTTTAAGATAGTTTTGTCTTACATAGTATCGAACAAAAAGGGTAGGGTGGGTGTGGGATGTGGGTGTGTGTGGGTGCGGCTGTTCTTTTCTTCTAAATCCACACCCACACCCACACCCACACCCACACCCACACGCACATCCACACCCACACCCACACCCACACCCACACACCGACACCCACCCATACCTCACACCCACACCCACACCCACACTCACACCCACACCCACACCCACACCCACACACCGACACCCACCCATACCTCACACCCACACCCACACCCACAC